TAACCCCAAAGGTCGGGCCTTTAGGCCCTGGTGTGTCCCTCCGGCCCTAACTCGGGTCCGGTAGGACCCGTGTGAGTCGAAGATGTAACACACTCCCCCTCTTAAAAGTCCGAGCTACCTGCGAGGGCGAAGTTGTCAGTCCGATACCGGGGTGGGTAGGGCGGGACGAGCTGCGTCCTTAGCAAGGCGTCGCTTCTCATAGTCTGCGAAGATGAGGGGTGCAGAAGTCTGCAAATCTTCACTGGAGATCCACCGAGTGTCATCAGGCGCACATTGCTCGAATGTGACCTTGTACTGCCTTGGCTTGTTGCCATACTTGCGGTGCGTGATGACTCGGTCAACTTCCTGATGTCCGTCCATAGAAGGCGGATCCTGTGATCGACGTCCGGGGAATTCGTCAGCTGGAGGTGGCATGAAGAAGGCCAACTTCGATGCATGGAAGACCCGATGCACTGTTAGGTGCGGTGGAATGTTGATCACGAAGGAAGGACCGGCGGGGTCGTCTCCAACGGCAGAAGTGACTTCCCATGGTCCAAACCATTTCGGAAGGAGTTTGCGCGAAACATCCTGCTCGAGCGCAAATTCCTCGGAGAGGACCCAAACAAGGTCTCCCTCGCGGAAAGGACATGGAAGTCGACGTCGGTTAGCTTGCTGCTGCATGCGGACCTRAGCCTTTTGCATATTCGCACGGGCTTTGATCAACAAGTCCCGATACTTCCTGACAGAAGCGGGAGAGCAAGGGACGTCTATGTCGGCAGCCTGTGGCAAAAGGAGATCAGCGAAGATCCGTGCTCTCTCTCCACCATGATGTAGCTCGAATGGTGTGACGCAGATCGCCGGGTGCACCGAAGTGTTGTAGGCGAACTCGATGTCACGAAGCCGGTCAACCCAATCTTTCTGGTCGGGACGGATGAGCGTACGCAACATCATCTGAGCGGTCTGGTGCGCTCGCTCCATCTGACCATCTGTCTGCGGGTGCCGAGCCGAGCTCGGCTTCATTGTCGTGCCGGACTCCGTCATGAGAGAAGTCCAAAAGGCTGACATGAAGCGAGTGTCTCGGTCGCTCACTATGTCTTCCGGAACACCTTGGTTGGTAATCCAACCGGTCTGCAAGAGTCGTGCGAACTCAGGCGCTGCAGCATGATACTTGCAAGGAAGAAAGCGAGCATACTTGCTCAAACGGTCAACGACCGTGAGAATACCGTCATGGCCGTGGCGATCGCGGGGAAACGGGCCTGTCACGTCCATAGCAATGGAGAGGCGTGGTGTCCGAGGAATCGCCAACGGTTTCAGTTCGCCGAAGGGGACTYGAGATCGACCCTTGTTACGGTGGCAAACTGCACATGACTCAATGTACCTCATGACGTCATGAAGGACGTCGGGCCAGTGAAAACGCTGGCGGAGGCGTGCTAGTGTGCGGTTCACGCCAAGGTGTGCCGAAAGTCGTGCATCGTGGAATTCGCCGAGAAGACGAGTCCGTAAGATACGATCTTGGGGCACAACTAACAAGTCCTTTCCTCTCGTGTGAAGGAGA